CATGACTTATAAAAACACCAGTATAGGCTTTTAAGGCCTACAAGTAAAAAACTACATTTTCCGCGAAAATGACGTCACTTCCGGTTTCAGGCAGGAAATGCGGACATGCGATCGTTCGCGCTGACGTCTGTTTCAATGTGGGAAGTGTAACAAACAGCTGATCGGATCGGCAAAGCATGTTTCGGGAATATTATGTTTTTGTTCCTGTTTTTGTTCCAGACAGGCTCAGCATGGAACCACCTTTTAGCAATGTCGGCATTGACGTGTTTGGGCCCTTGTCTGTATCAGCCCGTCGCACGAGAGGAGGCCACGCTGATAGTAAGAGGTGGGCTGTCCTCTTCACCTGTCTGTGTGTCAGAGCTATACACATTGAGGTAATTGAGTCATTGGATTCCTCCAGTTTCATAAACACATTCAGAAGGTTTATGGCAATTCGAGGGCCTTTGAAAAACATACGCTCTGACCGGGGCACTAATTTCACCAGAGCTTGCAAAGATATGGGGATTCCCTCAAATCTTGATGGGAAAGCCATGGAGAGGTTTCTGTCAGAACACGGATGTACGTGGACCTTCAACACACAACATTCCTCTCATATGGGAGGAGCATGGAAAAGGATGATCGGCATCACACGTCGTATCCTGGACTCGATGCTTCTTCAAATGAGCTCCTCCAAACTCACACATGACGTACTCACAACATTCATGGCTGAGGTTTCAGCCATAGTGAACAGTCGACCACTTGTGCCTGTGTCAAACGATCCTACAGATCCTTTCATTCTTACACCGGCTTCATTGCTTACTCAGAAAGTAGGTCCATGCCCAGTACCAGAAGGAGATTTTGGACAGAAGAACCTATTGAAGCAACAGTGGTGCAGGGTCCAAAGCTTGTCTAACACATTTTGGGACAGGTGGCGGAAACAGTATCTGTCAACGCTACAGTGTCGAACAAAGTGGACATCTGACCGGCCAAACCTTAAGAAAGGAAGCGTGATGCTTCTTAAGGACAGTCAGTGCAGTAGGAACAAATGGCCCTTAGGAATTATCATTGATGTGTATCCTAGTAAAGATGGAAGGGTGCGCAAAGTGCAAGTAAAGGTCATCAAGAAAGAGGAACCAAAGCTTTACGTCCGACCTGTGAATGAGATGATCTTGCTCATTCCTCCGGATGACTGAAATGTGTTTGACCTTGTCATATTAGTAGGTGAAACCCGCTGGGTTTCAGACGGGGAGTGTTCTGTCACCATGTAACTGTTTAGGCTGAATGTCGACTCTAGCAAGGCGTTAGAGGCAGAGGACATTACAAGTCCCTCCAGAACAAAGAAATTCAACTGCCTGTCCCACTCTCCGCTATTCCCCTCCCTCTCTGTTTATTACTAAGTCCGCCATCTTCAGTAAACTTCATAAAATTGTATCTGCATCTGAGACTGCTTTTGACCCAAATGTTCTGTATTAATTTTTTAAAAAGGCTCAACCCAGTGCTTCGCTTTTTGTCTAGCCTGGGTTGATCTTATATGGAAACACCCTGTAGTTGATCAGCATGCAAAATGTACTTACAGATCATCTGAATCATCAAGAAGATCAGACTTGGTGCAGATAAAGTGAATTTGCTGACATTCGCCACCATTTCCAATCAGACTACTGACACTTTCCAGGATTTCCCAGGCTTTTTTCTCTGATGCTGCTCGGTTAATTTCAGTCACAATCCACACAGTAGAACAATCTCCAACTATCTGAAAGGAGAATAACATGTCTCAGTGCTTCATTGAAAGATGACTGTTTACAGACAACACAGTATAAGCAAAGAGCAGTAAATGTGAATTACCCCTTTCCACATCTGATCTCTGCTCTTGTTACAGTCACCATTTCCAGGGAGGTCCACAAGTGTCACATGCTGGAGAAGAGGCCTGTTTGGCACCCTGACAGTCACACACTTCACTAGTGGCCAAAAACACTTTTTTCCTTCATCACCTTCTCCTTGTTTTGAATCACTTCTTGTGTACTTGACAAATTTTGCAGAGAGTTCATTAGCCTGCAATAAATAATAAAAGCAGTGCAGTTTAATTTCAGTCCGCAATGCAAGTGCTTTACAAAATCTATTAAAAGTCAGTGACACAAAAAAATCAGGTCATGTGAAATCCTTTTTAGAACAATCAATCATTTGATAGTTTCAATAAAGTGCCTAATTATTATTCAAAACCAAAATTAAAATACACTTTTATGATTTATTTAAAAGTTTTTATTTTCTATTTAAAATCACACTAAGTACACTCTTGGTCTCAACAGTTATTATTACTATTAGCAGAAACTACCTCATCTCAGTTATTTTGTACAGTTGTCCACCACTTTGAGATATTAATAAGCCACTTTAGACCGCTCCCTTATTCACTATAGCGGATAACGTGCCATGTTTTGACTGTCAGGGTTTTACACCACTTTTTGCCATTCCTGACACAACTGACTGTCAGACACCGATTTACTTTTGATTGTTTGTCGTCATTTTGATTCAATCTTTGTTGACTTTGCTCAGCAGTGAATTTCTACAGAGAGATTTAAAAAGGGTAAGAGTAGGTTAAAACAAGGAACTGATCACTGTTGTGTGAAGAGGTAAAGGTTCCTACTGCGATGTAAAAAAAAAAAAAAAAAATCATGCTCTACATCAGTGTTTCCCAACCTTTTGGAGCCACGGCACATATTTCACATCAGATAAATCACACGGCACACCACCAAAGAAAAATGTCAAAAAAGCATATTGATAATTTTCCCGCTCACCTGGTATAGCGGAATTGGTTCGGTTTGTCTCCAATATACCTTTTTAGCTTTCTTCTGAAGGCCTTAGTCTTGCTAAGGCCTTCATCTGGGTTGGAATTTTCTCCAGGACCCAGGTCAGTTTGACTACTTTTTCTTTTCAAATATTTATCTATTGTTATCATGTGCTGCGTTGTCTCACTCACAGCATGACTATTGTATAATTTCTTCTTCTTCTTCTTCTGTTTTACTAGCAGTTGGTAACCCATTTAATTAGAGCAGGTAGTTCCAGGGCACACCTGATCATTTCTCAGAGTGGTTGGGAAACACTGCTCTACATAATGGACCTGGACCAGTCTTGGGATCTGTTAACCACAGTTGTTACAAGAACAGATTTTTTTTCTGGATATGTGATCATCTAAATGTGATTATGGGATCTCAGTAAGAACTATTTCGTTGCGATCACTGCATTTCAGTGTTTTGTGTTTTTTAGACTTTTGAATTTATGCTGCATTCTGTTTTCTGAAGTGAGTTATGTTTCTAGATCTTAGTCTTTTGTTAATTTGGTCAGTTATCTTTTTTGTCCAGGTTGTCCTAGTTTCACCTGTGTGCATTTCCCAGCATCCCCAGTGTGTAGTCTCTTATGGCTGTCTGTTATAGTAGTAATATGAGAGTTTTTGTCTTACTGATTCACATGTCAACATCTTCCGCCTGGATTGGAGAAATTCTGGAATTTCTTTGAAATATTTGCGATCCATGAGGTTTTCAAAGGACTTCTTCCAGTCTTCTCCATACAGTGCTGACAGCTTTTCAACAGCATCATGATAATCATCATCTTCCTTTTTCTGATTTTTATTATTGTCAAGAAACTGACGAAATGACCACAACTCTTCGTTCCACTCCTACAAAATTAGACGACAAGCCATTTATTGAGGTATGTACCCAACCGTTAACCCCAATAACTGAAGTGTAACACCTATAATAGTTTTAAGTAAAAATCTAACTTTCATAGCTCATTTTACCTCCTTTGTGATGAACTCAATTTCTGCCTCATAGTTTGAGCTGTGTTTGTTAGCTTCCACTTTGATCATGACTGAGGTGCAGGCATTGATGCTTCCTGAGGGTAAAAGATTCTTCTCTTTGATGATGGCATTTATCAAAGAGCTCTTTCCAGCCCCAGTTTTACCAAAGACACCAACCAGCTCCCTCTTGTCTGTCTCCAAATCACTGATCTTTTTCCTGTTGAAAAAGATTTTAAATATAGTTAAATCATTCAGTCATGAAATTTTTTTAGGTATGCTTTAAATAAGAGAGTTTAAAAGAGAGTTATAATCATGGTACTGATTAACCAATCAATTATCACTATATATTTCAGTTCTATACACTTGTTCCACTAACTGTTTACTGTATGTTGTTTTGATCCACACCTTCTTTTTGTGTCAGTTAAAGTGAAAGTTTCCCCCAAGAATTGATAAATACCAGGAACAGGAAAAAAAAATATAGGGAGTGCAGAATTATTAGGCAAATGAGTATTTT